TTAGACAGTTGTTCTTTTTCATTGTTTAAATCCTCAGATTCATCAATGAAATCCAGGAGTAATTCAGATAGCCTTTCTTTAGATAAAAATTTAATCTTGTCTTTGAGATGAATTATACTTACCTCAGATTCCTCTTCAGATTCGTCAATTGCCATAAGTGCTTGTTCATCTCTATCTTCACCCTCTGAGTCCTCATCTGAGCTTTCTCCCTATGAAGCAACCATACCATTCGTTGATCTTTTATTCTTCTTGGGTTGAACCTGTTTCTTCTTCCTGTTCCTTCGTTCAGCTCTTTCCTTCTTCCATTCAATTTTCTATGGAGGGCAATTTTTGATGGGGTGATTAGTCTTCCCACACTTGTAAAACCCATCATTGGTTTGTTTTTCAGGAACCCTTAGTTTGCTGTAGCTTCCACTTCTTGAAGGATCTTTTCCTCTCATTAGATACTTCTTGAAGTCCTTTGTGATCATGGTCATTTCATCATCCTCTAGATCAGCACCTTCAATGATTCTGAGTGTCAAGATCCTTTCCTTCTTGGGTGCATCCATCTTCATGGTTTGTCTTCTAAGTTCATAGGCAATGAGATTTCCAATTAGCTCATCTAACTTAAGAGTGGCAATGTTCTTTGATTTCTGAATAGCAATGATTTTGCTTTCCCAAGAGACTGACAGAACCCTTGTCAAAATCTTCTCAACTTTGTCTTCTTCAAGAATAACCTTTCCAAGAGACTTAAGTTTATTTGTCAGTGTGGTGAACCTAGTATACATCTCCTGGACGGTTTTCCCTTCCTTCATGGTGAAATTCTCATATTGAGAATACAACAATGTTCCTTTGGACCTCTTCACTTGAGGTGTTCCTTTATGAGCCACTTGCAAAGTGTCCTAGATTTCCTTAGCAGTGGTACAGCTTTGAATTCTACTGTACTCGTCTGGACCAAGTCCACACACAAGCCATTTCTTGGCCTTAGCATTCTTTTCTCATTTCCCCAAGTCCTCAATATTGCAGTCAGCTCTTGTTTTTGGCACATCTACTCCTTCAGTATTCTTCTTCATGGTAGCCAAGTGACCATTAGTGACAATGTTCCATAGCTGATAGTCTTCTCCGATGATGTGATCTCTCATCCTATTTTTCCACAAAGAGTAGTACTGGCCATTAAAGAGTGGAGGCCTATCAGTGAATTGCCCTTCCCAGTTTCCAGGTGGTGCGCTCATCTTGATTTGTTCCTAAGGTGTCAGCCTCTTTAAGGATAATCTATTCTGATATCAATTGATGTTTTAGACTTCAATACCACACAAGAGGGGGGTGATTTGTGTGGTGACCAATTTTTTGCTAAAACTGATTATGGAAGGACCTGGTTCTTCTATGTGTTCCTTCTACTACTGTTGTGGAATAATAAATGTAGAAAGTAAAGAACACATATATTTTTACGTGGAAAACACCCGGCTCAAAAAGATGAAAAAACCACGACCTACTACTCAGTAGGATTTTTCCCAACACTTCACTAAATCACTGAGCCAAAACAACATTTACAAAACTCTTTGTAACCCTAAGGATTACCTCTAATCCCGTTGTAGCAACCAGCCTCTAACTGTTGCGACAATTTCAAGTTAACTCTAACTTGAATACTCAAAGTACCTATTATAATTGCTTCTAGATAAAGCTGAAAGGTACAATATAGAATACCTACTATAATTGAACTAGAAATAAAGAAAGACACATAAAACTCTTTATGGAGATGGTTCATGTAGCTTCAAGTTTGCACACTTGAATTTACACACGAACTACTTGCAAAAAACCTTGCTATTTTGCTCTCAATTCACGTTTAACTTCTACGTTTTTGTGCAACACCTGTAATGTGAGAGAACATCCTGCAATTTATAGAGTTAGTAGATGAAGAAATAACTAGAGTTCTAATGCAATTCTTCCTTGGTGGAAGAGTTCTAGTTGATCTCAACTTCTAACTCCTTCCCTATCTTGGATAATATTCTCTTTAAGTAAGGAGTCCTTCTCCTTATCAATTATGCAACCTTTTCGATCAGGAAATATTAAATACACCAAGTTAAGCTTATCTCCTTCATGTGCATCTCACATGCTCGAATCTGCCATGTTTTGTGCACCTGAGGGATAGACCTGGTTCATGCCTGAGCTTCCTTTGTCAATCTTCAAAACGAACCTTCATTTGGGCCAACAAACCTTTTATAAATTAAAGAAAAAAGATCTTATATTTATTTCATACGAAAAATATCTATCTTGGTTGTTGGAAATATGTGGTTCCTATCAAAATTTCTTAGTCAGTAGAAATTACTAACTTTGGAATACTTAACACATTAAGAGTGGATCATATACATATAGCACTCAAGAAATTAAAGAAGTAATATATCAGCACACATATGAAAATTAGCTTACGAATTTCAGTTTATCTTTCTACTTAATTAGCTTTTGAACCTTTTTTAGTTGGGACGTTGTGTTTGTAAAGCTTGATAGCATATGCAGCAGCGATTAGGCCTAACTTGCGACACGCAGGGGCGGATGTAGTGCATTGTCGACGGATTCAATTGACCCCATAACTTTCGACGTTGAGTAAATATTTATATGTAAAAATTCATTAAAATTACAAAATAGTACATATATACCCATAACTTTAAATATATAATGAATTCTATACTAAAAATTTCTAAAATTGAACCCAAAGAATTTAAGTCCTGGATTGTCGACACGCTAATTCTTCTTCCATCACATGAGAACAAAGAATTATCACTTATACGAAAATGCGTAAGTCAACATTTTCATTACCACGTTTGAGTTGTTTTTGACTAATTACTTATTTACTTTTGAGTTACTAGTACACCATTTCCACGTTCAGGCAATTATAGATAAAAGGGGACCCAAAGTTATTTCTACAGCTTATTATGGCCCACTGGATAATTTATTCTGTTTTATGGCACGTGGGATCTATTGGACGGCAAACACAGTAAAGATTAAAATATTATAGAAACATGGGACATTGGCTTTTGCCTTCTAATTTTGTCCTAGCCAATAAATACTGATCATTGGCAAAGAAGTTTTCATGCATACGTACGCATAATTACGAAGTCAACCAACAAGTTTTCATTAATTTTTCCTATTTTTCATTTCTTCTATAGCATTTTCTTAAAGACACGTCATGACCTGACTACTGAGAATGCAGGGGGTGATATAGGCTTCTGTTAGCCCTCCGCCTTTGGGCTTCTTGACAACGAGCGTATTGTCATAGGCAGTAAGAGTGTTGCAAAGCTAAGTTGCACGAGTAGCACCAAGGCAAAAAGGAAAACGGACAAGTGATGGCCAAAATTTTGACGGAGACAAGGCAGCTTGGCAAGGGCTTGACAAAGAGATGCGGGCTGAGGGTAACACTTGATCATGGAAAAGGCATCAAGGCATGAGACAGTGATGCCAAGGCAAGGCAAAAACGAAGTGGCAAAGGCAGGCTATGTGCAACGGAAGACAGTGCGCAAGACAGACTTGTCATGACATTGGGGTGCAGAAAAGGGCCATGTGCGTGGGCAATGGCATGGGCAAAATGCGGCTACAATGCACCTGAGTACAAGGCATAGGCGCATGATTCAAGCCAAGGCACGGACATGGGCAGCAAGCTTCACATTGACCAAGTCAAGGGCGGTTACGCGGCACGTCATGCTGTGCACATGGGAAGCAGTTGGCTTTTACTAAAAGCTGGCAGAAGTGTTAGCACGTTTTTGGGGCCATATTTCCATTATTATTAGCATGATCTTACATGATACTAGTAGTTGGGGAATGTCAACTACACCAGGCTAAAATAGTGAGTTGTGTGAGACAAATATCTAAGCCTAAGTGCGACAAGTGTAAGGCAAAGGGGTTGTCTAATGTGTTATAAATGGGCAGCATCCTTATGCTTGTGGGGAGGAGAGAAAAAACGTGTATGAGTGCATGTTTAAGTCTGTTTTCAAGAGTGAAAACGTCTAAGGCTAAGAGTAGTCTTGTGAGAAAATCAGAGGGTCAAGAGTGATCTTCTTGTACACGGCATTGTACTTCAAGTTTGAGTTTCTTTGTATGCTCGAGTTAAATACAAAGTTGGGAAAAAAGTTTCCTATAATTATGCCTTGTGTTCTTGTTAATTTTCTCCTGCATTTACTAAATTTCGTTGCCTAAATCATTTCTAAACTTACTATGTTGAAAGCTGCCTGAAATATTCTAAGTCCAAAATTGTTGTAATTTTGGCAAAGTGTTGTGAGAAGGCTAAAGTCAAATGAGTGACTTGCCTGCCGTGCAGGCTGGTTTCGGCGGACAGAAATCACGCTCGTGTCAACTTCTGTAGTGAAGACGTCGGCTTCAAACACATATTTAACACCTATATATTTTTTATTAACTTCTTAACTGTGCTTATGGTAATTAAATTAATTAATTTGATACAAATATCGAGCGCCAATAAATTTTACCTTGAGAGGACGTGACATTTTGTAGCCCGGTCGGTGAAATTAGCTATTTTTATTTTTTGGCCTCTTTGACTAGAAACCTGAAAAGTGTCGTTTTGTAATTGTTGCAACAACAATATAACGTTTAGTTTGACGATTAACGTAACGGAATGTTAAACGTATCAAGTTGCAAATATGTGATGAATGATTATAACTTGAAGTGATAACATGGCCAGAACTAGAACAACGCCGTCCAAAATGAGAAGGAAAAAAAAAACAGACACATTATTATATGCATCTAGTCTAGTTAGTAATAATTGAAGTATTGCTTCGATAAACATATAGTAATCTCCTAAATAAATTCACTTAACTAGACTTCACATTCTTTGAATGAAATAGCAAAAATAGGTTGCATTTTAAAATTGAATGTCTTTTTAGATTTTCAATAAGGTAGCATAGGAAATCGTTTCGCCTCAGGCTTTTCAGATTCCCCATGAAATTCATATCTCTATATTAAGGTGGAGAAGAGCGACGAAAAATGGAAACTAAACTGCAACTCAGAATCAACAGATGGCGGCCAAAGACTCTGTTGCATATGTGGACGAATTCTATTTCTCAGCATTGCATGATGAGGAACAATTGTTCCCCATTTCAGATGAAAAATATGCAGAGGAGTTGCAATTGCAAGAGGCCTTAATGTCCGCAGCCACCATTTCTTTATATAATAAGTTTAAGAGCGTCAAGACGGAAATCGGAGAATCTTCTGGAAATTTATGTATGATTTGTATGGTAAATAAACCCATAAATGAAATGTTCGGAAACAGCTCTTATTGCTCACATTCTTTTTGTGTACTCTGTATCAGCAAATATGTTGCTAGCAAAATACAAGAAAATATTAGTGTTATCAAGTGCCCAAATATTGCTTGTAAAGGCATAATTAAACCGCAATTTTGGCGAGAAATTGTTCCTAAAGAAGTGTTTGATAGATGGGAGAATTCTTTGTGCGAATCTTTGATTTTGGGTTCACAGAAATTTTATTGTCCTTATAAAGATTGTGCAGCTATGTTGGTGGACGATGGGAGCGAGAATGTAACAGAATTTGAGTGTCCAAATTGCCATCGATTGTTCTGTGCTCAGTGCAATGTCTCGTGGCATAGGGGATTGGATTGCAAAGAGTTCCAGCGTTTGGGCAGAAAAGAGAAAGGGAAGGAATTAGATGTGATGCTGACGGAGTTTGCCAAGAACAAGAAATGGCGCAGATGTCCCAAGTGCAAAATCTATGTTGAAAAACGTGATGGCTGTTTACACATAACTTGCGGGTAATCTTAAGCACTTATTACTTGCTCCATTCTTTTGTATTTGCTACAAGAACATGTTGTTAGAGGTAAAATGAAATATTAAGGTTATAATTACCAAATAAAACTTTTAAAATTAGGAGCAAATTAAAAAGAAATTACATATAAAATGAAATGGAGAGTAATTTTTAGTGGTGACAATTATTTTTCTTTTTGGACTTGGTATGTATGTTCAAATTGAGAAAATTTTGCTTTGTTGCATGCAGGTGCGGCCATGAGTTTTGCTATGGCTGTGGATTAGACCACAGCTTGGGACATGTTTGTCCGCGATCTTAAAAAAGACACTTTGGTCCAAGTATTCCTACATACATACTATTGCTTTCGACGACTACTGTTGGCCCGTTCTGAACTCGTCAAGTATTGCAATTGATCGGGAATATTGTTATTCCTTTTAGAGTTTATTTGCTTCCTTTTAAAACTTCTGTTTTTCTTTTTAATCGGTAATTAAGTTGAATATTCTTGGTGTCCTTGCTGATTTTAATTCTGCGTTCACTCTTTTCAATTATAGTGTTCTCCTTACTCTTTATTTAACCGTTTATAACCCCCCCCCC